TATTCTGCATAATTAACACTGGACTGCTGATCGATAATCAACTGTACTCCTCTCGCATCCAGATCAACCGCAATCCCTGTATTTGGGGAGTTCATGCACAGGCATGGCACAGAGCAGAGCCTGGCACACCTGAGGCACAGCCAAGCACCTGGGTTTTGCTGCTTCTTCCTTCATGGTGCGTTGCACCCTCTGCCTCCTGGACCTGCTGGTGGCACTAAGAAAGGTGCTGGCTGGCAACCGCACGCCGTGGTCTGTATGATCGTTTTGATTCCTTCATTTAAAACAAAGCTTCACCTGCCGTTTTAATGTTACACAGATGTAGGTGTGCGTGCACGTGTGCGTTTGCAATTCCAAATAAAGAGGTAATGGGAATAAAGGGAAAGGGATTATCGGATGGCAGTATTTATCTCAGCACTGAAAGGAAGGAGTTAGTAGGTTTCACTTCTTATAGCAAAAATTGTACTCCTTGTCCCTTGGGACCACTGGCAGGTCATAAACTTTGGGCAATCTCCGCAGAATCCCTAATGCTGCATCCAAAGTGCTGACTCGCGTTCCTGCGCAAAAAGCAGCAGCTGGGTAGCAATTGTTTGCAGCCACGGCTCAGTCCCTCCTTGCGCTCCCCTCCCTCTTATTAAACAAGCTAGTGTCTGGAGGGGTTCTTAACGCTATTTTTTGTTTGCTCACTTCTTTCTTTCAGTTAGCCAGATCAGGCACCTGAATGGCTTCATTGTTTGGGCTTCCTCTTTTCCTCCTCCAAACGTAATTTTAATTCCTGGATTATTTCAGAGCTAAATAAACACCAGACGTGTTTAGTATAAATCCAGCAAGACCAATCTGGATGGCTCCTGCCCCGCTATTCGCATGGCAAAGGAGAGGAAAGGCGGAAGGTGAGCCGGAAAGCATGCTGCTACCCTCGCAGGGACAGCGCTGCCGTAGATTGGAGCTTTGTTACATCGCCACCATTCAATCTGTTTTCCCCTACCAGATTAGATTGATACTGACAACTCGTTCCCTGTGAAGGTGCCATAGCGTGGCATTTATTTGCATGTACATTGCAGTTCTCTTCATCAATCAGCTTTGCAGAGATCACCGCTGCGGCTGACCATATTTTTGCTATGCTGACACTTCATCCTTAAGTGCTGCTTGCGTAATGGTACAGTACGTGCCCACGACCAAAGTTTAAATCAAAGTTTAATCATTACGGAAAAACAAACATATTTCCGCGACTGTGTATCCTGCAAGTAAAAGTAAAGGCAGTTTGGTCGGGTCACAGATGCTAATCTCTGCTCTTTTTCTATTCACAAACTATAAAGGGAGTTGACAGCACCTGTAAATGTTTTTCTGAGGCTAGATTATATCTAAGGTGATTATTATTTACGCCCACTATAAAGACTGCTCTTGTGAGCCAAGAAGTCTGTTCCTGTGAGGTGAGTGTTACCAAAAAAGGGCTTTCTTGCAGGAGGATTCAGCAGAGCGAGGAGCCAGGGTGAGGGGCGGTTCAAACACACAGAGTGCCTTGTCATGTGTTGGGTTTGTATAACCCGGGACTGAAATACAGTGGGGATGTGCTGCAGTTCTGCATTCCCAGACACTCGGGATGAGGGGGAAAGCCTCAGCGCTCTCAACCTGAGTTTTTTAAGCAGGGGCTGACCTTTTCCCACAGCCCAGTTCTGATTCTCATATGAAGATCAACACGGGGCAGAAAAAGGATAGGAAAGGAGTTGACCTTCCAGTATGAATCAGAGCGAACACATGCGTGTTTAGTCAAGTAAAGTTGTATTAACATAGAAATCCCACAGCCATCACTAAATCCCTGTGGCTGGAGGCAAAGACTTTGACTTTGACCAGCTTTCATCTGCCTTACTGGAAGCTCGCTTCTGTGAAGCCTCTAGAACGTCCACGGTTTAGGTGTGAAATCTCTTAAGTGTGAAATCCACTCTCCTTGAGCGCATCTTCTTCAGCCAATTTGCATATAGGAGACACATAATTCAAAGACTTCCCTAGCTCCACTCGCTGCTTCTGCAAGCTTCCCCTGAAAAAGAGTCGTTTTGCCAGGACTGATTTTCTTACTGTATTTTATCTGCTCCTATCATTGCTGAAACTTCAGCATATGCATTTCATTAAGCCCTCCCTGTGAAATAATTCTGCTCACATACATCTCAAATGCGTTCACCAGCTTTATAGATTATAACCAGACACATATAAAATGTTTGAGACAACTGGAAATGGAAATGAGACGCACTGGCGATATGAAAGGAATTATTTAAAGCAGCAACTTTTTGTCGTGTGAGTTTTGAAACGTTATGAACCGAAGGAGCCTCCCGGGCTCGGTGCCGCATCGCTGCTGGGCGGGCGTGCGTGTGTACGCGTGTAGCGAGCCCTGGCACCGCGCCGCAGAAACCCCGGGGCCCTGTACAGCACGGGGAGCAAACCCCAAGTGGACGGGGCTGCCGGCGATTCCC